TTTAAAAAAAGTAGATCATAACTATATTTATAATAATTTTCTAGACAAATTTGCCTGGAAAAGCCTACAGTTTAAGGGATAAGTGATTTTAAAAACTATTTGTTTGTTTATATAATGAATAATATTTTTTTGACCAATCGCAATAACTTGACGCATTTAATCTTTCCTTCAGGTAATTTTATAATTGGCAGGTATTTTGATGGCATTAAATTCATCCTTTGTAACAAGACAAATATGACAAGAACATATACAACTTGATTTGCTATATATTAAATATAATTTACAATTTTCAGACCAGTTACCAATAATACTAGCCAGTACCATATTGCACCTTAAATTATAAGAATTAATCTTTAATAATACACTAGTATTATACTGTAAATATAATGGCTCAATAAGTATATTAATGTATTTGTGAAAGATTAACTAGACTAATTGTCTAAATTGTGGTGTTCGATATTTCTTTTTAGTATCCTTTAATATCAGTATAATACCAATAAGTACTTTGGCTTTAGCTTTGTTTCAAAGATTCGTTAGAATATTTCTCAAACTAATGAATATTGGATGCCTCAAATTTTTTTCTAAACAGTCTAATATAGTCATATCTGAATATAATATAATAGCTAAAACTTTATAACTAGTTAGAATATGCTATTGCACATGGCCCTACCAATTGCAATTTTAAAATTCTAAGTATACCCTTTCTTGGTGTCTCTAAAAATTAGAAAACATATAATGTTTAATATATTACACATTAAGAAAGTAACAACTACATATACAGTTAACTCTTTCAAATCTGAATCTAGGTATCTTAACCCTTAATAAACTCTATAAAAACTAAATATAAAATTTCAGAATATTTGTAAATTTTATTACAAAGTTCAGATTAGCAATATAGTAACTTTGATTACTAAGCTCGATTAGCAATATAGTAATTCTTTAAACTAAACGAACAGACTGTTCAAATAGAGAGTTGTCTACAATAACTTAATATATCTCAAATTTGATAATTAATATTATTTCTTTAAGAACTTTATATATCTTATTTGAAATAAAAATCTTCTGATAATCAAATATACAGTTTGTTGCAATCTCTTGATCTTGAAAAATTTCTTTAACTGCTGAAATTATTAGCTAGTATTTAAATAAATATATTTGATCCCTTACTTGTGTAATGGGAGTTGAAGAAAATTTAATATGATTTTTCTTTAAGGTTCCAAAAGAGAAAGACCTTTTTTTGTTGATCGTGCTAAAATTTTTTTTTGGAATCTGGCTATAGTTTTTTATAAACTTTAATATAGTATCGCTAGCTGTATAAGAAAGTTGATATCAGATTATCTAATATTTGTAATAAATACTATTTAGATGTTAAATACCAAATCTTAAAGAAAAAAAATAATACTTACTATACTGACAAAATCTTGATATATGATATTTAAAAAATCTACATTATTATGATCACTATTATTACTCTACAATTCATCATTAGTTTTCTTATAATTTATTAGTAGATTTCCCGCAATTTTACAATTATCGAATATTAAAGCATAGTCATCATCTGTCTTTTGGTTATCAGAAACAAACTCTTCATTGAATATTGAACCAGACTCACTAATGACCTTCTGGTCATTAGACATTAAATCAGACTCACTGGTAACCTCTTGGTCATTAAATATTGAATCAGACTTATTAACAGCTTTCTTGTTATGAATATCAAGTCAGACCCACTGATGGCCTCCTGGTTGTTAAAAATTGAACTAGAATCACTGACAGCCTCCTGGTTGGCGAACATTAAATTGGACTCATTAGTAGCTTTCTGGTTATCTAAGTTTGAATCAGGCTCAATTTTTTGTATATCAAATATTAGATAAGACCTGTTAGAAATATCTTGATTTTCAAATATTAAGTTATAATTAAAAGTAATATTTCTTTTATTATTTTTGTGGCCACTTATAATTTCTCGTTCATTAGAAATATCACTATCTATGCTCTTATCTAAACTAGTATTAAAGCTAGTATCAGTTCCCTCTTTGATTTGATAATAATTTTTGTAAGTTTTTTATAATTTTTAAGGCTCATTAAATGGTTAAATCCTTTTTTACAAATATTACAAATGAGTATAGAAAAGTTTAAGATAGATATGTAACAAACATTGAGTATTTAAAGATTACATAGATTACGTAATAATTAAAATTAATGAAATTGGTATCAAAAACTTATAATAATATATATATATATTATTTATTTATTTATTTTTAATTTTTTTTAATAATTGCATTTTTTTAATTGAGATTTAATTGATCAATTCGTATAAATACTGTCAAGAAAGAACCTGCTATCGGGCTTTCAATTATATTTCATATTAGACCTGATCTATTTGATTTACTAGTGATAATATTTATTACAAAATATAATTGAAAGCCCGATGATATGATTTTTCTTAACAATGCTTATATAGTATTGTTTACCTTATTTATCCAGATATGCAAATGATCAAGATCCCTAATTTATTAAAATTTTTTTCTTTATCATTATAAAGTAAAAATTCATAAAGGCAGTAATCTACAACTTAAACCCTTTCAAGCAACTTCTACTTTTTTATACTATTCTTATATCTCGAAAATGAAAACTTGGCTCAGATCAGGATGAAGTAGCATCAGTAATTAATAAATTTTAAACTTTTGAATATTTATAAGTATTTTTTTAGACTTATTTTTTTGTTTTTTTTTTTATTTTATTTCAGGTATTGGATGTATTGAAATCTGGTCCCTCAACTTCTACCACAAAAAAAACAATGAAATACAAGTGAATATACTAATAGATGCTATACAAAAAACAAAGTATTATCCAAGCCCAAAAACAATTACGTTGAAAATATTAATAATGATATAGTCAATAATGGCTTTCAAAATTCTCTTCACTCTCTATCAACCCCTTATGAAGTTATTGAAAGCCCATCTAAATCTCTACTTAACAAACTCTATGACAATATATTAGAAAAGTCAAATATTAATACTGATTACGATCAGTTTTAGATATTTATAAAAGTTTTGCTATATTTTGGATTATATATATAGTTACTAATCATTAAATTAAACTAGCCTTAGATAAAGGAAGCAATCTGATAAATGCAATAGTAAATACGTTACTAGAATTGACTAACAAAATATTAGCTCAAAACACATCAATTATAGAGAAACAAGGAGCTCTGAAAACTACAGTTACTCAGCTTGCTAGTAATATCAAAACTTTAAAATTTTTATATAAAGATTTAAAGTCAAAAATACAAAATATTAATTATAAATAGTAGTAGGTATATAAAATATTTTTTGTTATTTTTTTTTTTCACAAATAGATGCTTTCAGGCACTTTGTTATTTTTTTTTAAATTGAATTGATTATATATTTTATTGATTATAATAAGATATATAATTTTTTTTTGGTTTTAAGATGAGGCTTACTCATATTTTTATTAGTAATAATTTTTTATAGTAATAGTATAGATTACTATAACACAGTTACCGAGACTTTCACTTGTAGTCAGAGTGAATCATTAAACTACTATATATAGAAATTTACAAAGCTACTACTATTTGTACCAGTACAAATAAAAATAAAATTACGGGTTCTAATTATTTGCCTGATATTTATTTGCCCAATAATTACTTTTTCAACAACTATTTGTCCAACAATTATTTGCCTGATATCTTCATTTGCCTGACAATTACTTGCCCAACATCTTTTTTTATTTATAATATTTTAAAGGTGTTGGGCAAATGATTGTCAGGCAAATAAAGATGTTAGACAAGTAATTGTTAGGCAAATGGTTGTTAAGAAAGTAATTGTCGAGTAAATAAATATTAGACAAATAATTGGAATCCAAAAATTACATGCAAGAATAAGAGTTCAAACAAGAAAAAATTTATCTGTGACCTAAATCTACTAGAGTAGTCAAGACTTATCTAGATTTATATATACTTATACAAATCTAGATAAGCTTGATCTAGATTGTGTAAATACTTTATAAAGATCTATAAAGTATAGATAAAGAGTAGTTTGTTTAAATATAATAATGTATGTGCTGATTATTTATATAAGTATATATAGTTAGAGAGCTTCTAGAAATCAGCTGATTAGGGTTTACTAATAAATCAGTTGAACCCACCCCACCCCCCTCACCTGCTAGCTAATTAGATTTCACGTTTATTAAAATATATAATTAAAATTATATATAATATTTAATATTAAATAACTTTTGTCTACTGAGCCAATTTGGATAATTTAACTACCAAAATGATCCTCTCATAAAGAGGATTCTAACAAGTCCAAAATTATAAAAATCTAATCACTAGATGCTAAGATATAAATAGTTTTGTATTACTATATAATAATATAATTAAATATATTTATAGTAATACAAAACTATTCTATCTTAGCATCTAGTGAATCAGCAGACATGTTAGTTAACTGCAATTAAATTAGATTGTTCTAGAAAGCCTAGTATAGTAGGAATAGAATCTAAAGCAACAGACTTAGAATCTAGAATTTAGCTTAACAAAAGAAAGAATATAAACTTAAATCTAAATTTAGTATTAAAATAACATCCTTAAAGAAGATTAAAGGTGTTTTTGCATTACCAATTGAACAAAGACAGAAAATATGCAAGACGCAGAAAAGATTTATTCTCCAAACAGATAGAAGTATAGCAAACTTTCTGGAATTAGAAGACCCAAAATTTGTATCATTTATGCGAATAGCATTAGAAAACTATAAAACAGCTTTTCAAAAGTACTCCAAAAGAGAAAAACTAAATGCAGAAGACCAAGAATTAGTCAGTATCGATCTAAAGATTAAAACAATAAACTTGAAAGATCATGCTAAAAAAGACTTCAAGAAGAAGAGAATACCTCACCAGAACCAAAGGTGGAAAAGAGAAAATCTCTACTATTCTAGACTAGAATAGAAGTAGAAGAACCTATGACCCAACTAATTATTCATGAAATAACTCAGAAAAGAAAGTATACAGTTATAGAAGATATTAAAGAAATAAACAAGAAGGAACCTAAACCTAAACGACAAGATAGCAGTATAGACAAAGTAGCTGAAGCAATCTTGAATGAATCAGAAAAAGAAATTTTAGAAAGTTCAAATGATGAAAAGATAGAGGATGAGATAATTCTGCTATATACAGAATATGAAACTAATGATGAAGAAACCAAGAAGACAAAAGATCTTATACTATTAAGATATGACAAAAGAACAGTAGAAGTCCCATCTAGAAAAGAGAAGAAAAAGAAATACAATATTGTACATGAAGACATACATGGATCTAGATAGGCACTAAAAGATATTAACAATTCAATTTGGGCACTAGAGAACAGGCTCAAAGAGGAATCACTAAAGAAAGAAGTAATATTAAAAGAAGAAATACTCA